CCAGATCCAACTCCAATGAGAACTTCATAGCCGTATATATTCCTAATTGGGGTATTGACGCCGATGCGAGCTATAGATGTATTGTTAGGAATCGCAAGCTTGATGAGTAGTCACCCACAGTAGAACTTACAAAACAGAACACCACCAACAAGCACTAATGCACCTCCAGCTACATACCAGGGCTGATAGTATCCAAACTTCGACATCATTGCTCCGTTGAAGAAGATTACTGCACTGATAAGGATGATAATCGGTAGGAGCCTAACAGCTGAGTTCATAGGCTCATCGCCGCGGATAAAGGCGAAGTAGGTTGGGATGTAATATATCGGAATGAATCCAGCCGCATTTGCTGCAGACATACATATGAAGAGGCGAACCGCTTCTTTGATTTTCAGCAATGAGACGGGGAACATGCGATGGTCTTCTTCGGTGAGGATACAGTAAACTTGTTGGATGCCAAATGCCAGAGCAAACCCCGCAGTAAGAACGAAAAGAACGATAATCTGGGGACTATCCCAATCATACATAGGACCACCAAAGTTTGTCGCCATGATTATGCATGCTAGCGCGGCGACACTGAGCATCCCGCCCAAATAATCAAACTCATGGAAACGTTCAAGAAATTTCTGGGATCCACGCGGGTCGAATCCTGGGATAAGAAACAGATAGACAGGGGCGAATAGCGCGCCGACGCAAAGGTTTATATAGAAGCCCCATCTCCAGGTAGCGGGAGATTCTGCAAAGCCACCGCCGATAAGTGGACCAACGACAGTTCCAGTGCCAAATACAAGCCCACTAAATATCACAAGTTAGCTTGACAGAGAACTCGGTCGACAGTTTCTATTTGGCGATGATAGTAAATGTGCTTACACAAGAGACAGGTACATGGGTCGTTCTTTATCATTAGTGTTCACAGAAAGGATATTCATGACGCCAAGGTACATGCCATTGCCGCCAACTCCTGCAATAACTCGTCCAACAATGAACGCATTAATGTTGGGCGCACCGCCGCAAAGAGCTGACCCGCCCTGAAATAGGATAACAGACGCAATATATAGGGACTTGACGTCAAATAGCCCGTACAATCTACCAAATGGAAGGACCATAGCCACTCCTCCAATCATGAAACTGCATATACGTGATTAGAATATGACTCAAGCGAGATGATTGTATATAAATTTCATTTTCTTAAAAGTAAACTTACGCAACTGAAAGCCATGCTAGCTTATCAGTGTTCTGAAAGTCTTCTGCTATTACCTAATAGAAAAGTAGTATCGTCAGCAAAGACGATCTAAAATGATAAATAAGGTGAGAGTTTGCGAACCGGAATGACGTTGGCAGTGATAGTATTATCTATGGCGTAGAGAAAGATGCACGAAAGGGTGCTCGCAACAACCAAAACCCACTACAGAGTTGTTAGCTAATAACTAGACGTCACAAGGCATTTCTAAGGCAATTTGAATACTGACGGAAATTCCTTTTCTTTTGCGAGCTTCGGGCGGTGGTGACGGCGAGTTGCACTCTTGGTCAGAACTAACCATGACTTTTTCCACCAGGCCATTTTGGTCGAACAGAACCTCCCCCTGGTCAGCTAACATTGTGAGAAGGGTTTATCACCAAAGGACAAACGAATCAGAGAGACGAGGTATTTCAAGAATTTTGACACAGTTCTGGGGAGAAACGAACCCAGATTCAAAATGTGTCCTTTTCAATGAAGATAAAAGACCCAAGCGAAGAGACCATTTTGTTTTCAAGGGGGAAATAGAAAGCTAGATTTTTCGAATTGATTGATAATCAGGCTCCAGCGCTTCGTAAATTGTGTAACCACGTAAACTTTTGGCTGTTTGTTTGACTAGGGACTACAAAACTAGTTTTCCACTGAGAATACGAGATCAACATCTCGGGTTCCCAATGATCTGAATTCCCAGCTGAATACGAGCCGTGCCGCCAGAATGATCCTAGCTTTGTGGCCCTGTGGATGCCGATCCCCCAACCTCCACCGGCCAGCCAGAGTCTCGCATTCAGGAAGTGGAGACTGTGGAGGTCAGAATCAGCCCCGGCAGAACCTTGTGAAGATCGGCGCTAGTTGTCCGGAAGTGAAGCGCTAACCTCAACTTTAAATGCGGGCACCAGGAGGATGCTGAACAATTGAGCTCGACTTAATTATCTGCTTTGCTTCAGCAGGACGGATTTTTGTGATCACGTCAATGACGGAAATTATAACTAGTACATAATTTAAGTCAGATTTTTTAACAGCCTCGTATAAATGTGTGTAAACCTTTGCGTGAACAATTTCCCTGTAATTTTTTCTAGGCGAACAAAATCCTTGCCGTAGAGATGACGCTGCTCTAATTACCCAATTAATGGTTAACTCGATCAAATCGGATGCTAGATCAATCAGATAATTGCTGGGGCAAAGCCTGGCACATACCTGATAGCTTCTCTGTCGCTGACGAGAAACTGTGCTGCGTAAAATAAGTGATACGTAGAGTGCTCTGCCAACTGCTACCAAAATTTCTGATATCTTTTGTTCCGAAATGAAGCCCTGAAAACACAGATTGATAAATACCTAAGAAGGATATTTTGTCACTGTTTGTCGGAAATTGAAGACAAGGTCTAGCAACAAACCATTATGTGGTGGATTGGTTATCAATTTCGTCGTCCACTAGGAGGTAGCGGGGTTGAAATGTAATGTTCTATTGAACAGAAGATAAAGTGAAGAACTATATTCAATACTATGTTAAAAAATAGCGATTAATGGAAAAGAGCCGTGCAACTTAGGTCATTTTTGTTGCACGCGAAAGGGCTTCTCGTATTCCATTAGCTTTTGCGGTTGTGCGTGCACAGCCTGCATGCTCCGCGATGTAGATCCTCGGATTTTGTCGAACATCCGTGGTTCGACAACCTTTACCTCACGATGCCCGCCTCTGTAGCCATTTTGCGCCTTAGGTTGAGGCGCCACAACGTGATAGTCAGCCAGAGGAAGGATACATACATGTAGAGTGTGACGCAATATTTGTTTGCCAGTGATATTGACGTAAACGTTCTTCTGATATTGAGTGAAGATTTTGCATAAAAAGAGAGCAGTCCTCAATTTTATCTAAAGCAACTCATGTCATAATCGGCTTGATCACCTACCTGATTGACCTCATTAGTAACAGCTTTGCACTTGTCCCTAAAAGCTGACAGCTCTGTTTCAAAGACATGTTGAACAGCATCCTACCATTCACTGTAAGATTTTCAATATTTCCCATCGATTGGGCGTCAACTAACTTGGGTAACAGCCTGAAGTAGCCGAGAAGGTGAGCGGATATTGTATAGATCACACGAATGGCGTTCCCAAGATGATGGAAGAGGTATGGGAGTATACCGCGAGGTCATTCAAAGAGGCAGATAAAATGTCTTCCCCATTACAGGTAAGCTAATCTTGACCGTATAACAAAGGGTGTGGAGACGTGACAATGGAGAATGAAGCTAACAATGTCACAGGGCTCATGGATGATCTTCTTAGCTCAAGATCGTAAAGCAAAGAGAAGTAAGTCATCCGGCATCCATCCGTAAATACATCCTTCAGCCTAATTCCCATCAATAGTCCTCGAAATAGGGACGTTTTCCGGATACAGCGCCTTAGCTTGGTATGAAGGCACAAGAGAGACTCATGCAGAAATCATCACCTTGGAGGTTAGCCCAGAAATGATTGCTGTGGCACGAGGAGTCTTCGACAAATACAATGTCAACGACAGGATTACATTAATCGAGGGCCCAGCGGCGGAATCGTAAGACCTTTCCTTTTTCAGTGCCTGCTTTTTGTAGTTTGCAGTTGAGAGAGTCCCTCCAGTTGAACTTACCTGGTGCCTTGCTTGGGAAATAGACTCGAAAAGTTGAGGGGTTCTTTCGATCTAATCTTTGTCGATGCCAACAAAGATGGCTATGAAGGTTATGTCAATACCATTCTCGACCGAAACCTCCTTTCGCAAGATGGCCTTATCATGTGTGACAATGGTGAGTTTTCAAGATAGGTGCAAAGTCTTGTTCACTATCGCTAACACGGTCATCAGTGTTTGCTCGTGGGATGACGATATCAACATCGTCCAATCCAATCCTTGCTGATTCTGGTCGTTCATACTGGACGGAATGCGGCAAGGCATTGAGGCAATTCAATGCTGCTGTTATCCAGGACCCAAGGATTGACGTGGTGATGCTGCCTGTGTTTGATGGCGTGAGCTTGATTAAGCTGAAAAGCCAAACCGCGGAGGTAGAAGCAAACGGGCGCAATACCACAGCCTCTAATGGAACAAACCCAATATGACTATTTCTCTCCTTCAGTTGATTGATGATAAATATTTTCAAACCATAAATCAGACTCTTTGTTATTTTATCTTTCGCTGAGTGCGAAGTTGCGTTTGTTTTGAGCATGGCCCTTTCCGGCAATCAAGGTGTTTTATTTTTAAGTTCACGTGATCTAACTCCTATTTATGTCCTTTTGTTTCTTTGCAGTTACAATTATCAGACAATAAGATTGAGGGTATTACGATCCGACATAGGAATTCATAGTGATAGAGCTCAGCAGGCCCATATAGAATGTATTCGAGCTACATACCATAACTATCTGATGATACCGCAAGATATGGGCTATTTTCCAGGGAGGGGATAACTAAAACGGGTTTGGATTGAGATGATATTTTTTCTCTTCTCTAGTTACAGAGTACAATATCTGGCATTCTGTACTGTGAATAGACAACCACCTGTGCTAGGACACATTAATTTTGGAAATTGAATTCGTAGTGCTTTAATTGTTGATGGTGATACATAGTAAATTTTTATTTCACATTTCCCAAGAGCGTTATTTAACTAATCATAGCAGTAATTCTCCCAGAGCAAGAAGGTCAGCTGAATATACCTACGTTTTCCTTGTCTGAAACATCAAAAATACCTCACCCTTTATCTCATTCAACACAGTTAATACCCACTGCAGCAGCGAAAAGGGTACAGGGGCCTAATCAAACTCTCTTCTTGAATCTCATTTTGAGACCTTCCTGTTTTACAAACCAACCTGCTTGTAATTTCCAATCCGCTTTTGCGTCCTCCAACTCAAAGTCAAAGTGTCGGACGAATTCCACGACAACTTTCCACATTTCCAGAAGACTTATATGCTTGCCAATACATACGCGTGGTCCAGCGCCAAACTACAAAAAGAAAAACTAGAAGTGAGCATCTTTTTGGCTAAAGGCAATCAGAATCGAGCATTCCTTACTGCAAACATATTTCTGTGTCTATTGGCGACCTCTTCAGGATCACCCTCGAGCCAGCGCTCGGGTCGGAAAACGTTGACATCGTCACCAAATACTTGTTTGTTATGATGGATGACCCACGAGTTGACTCCTACGATAGTTCCTTTGGGCAAGAAGGTTCCGCCTAGGGTTATACCACCTTCAGGGACAACGCGCTCCAGTATGAATCCTGTTGCGGGATGCATGCGCATGGCTTCGTTGATCACAGCGCCACTGCAAAAGGAGGAGCCGTTAGTCCATTGTGCTTTAATATTAACCCTCGTATATACTTACAGATATGGTAGTGCAGTTGTTTCATTGTATGTTGCCGGTTTCGACAGACTACGCTGCTCAGCGGCACTGTCCACCTCCTGCTGTAGCCTTTTATACACTGATGCATTCTTACAGAGGTAGTAGAAGACGGCCCTCAGCGTAATTGCAGTGGTATCAGAACCAGCGATACTATTTTCTAATTAATTACGACCTTGTTGGTTCTAAAGTTGATGGAAAACTCACATATTCGTTGTCGTAATGGCGACAATCTCGCGAAAGGACAGCTTTGACGGATCCGAGTCGTGAATCTCGATTAATCTCGCCAGTATATCTTTCCGGGCCGCGGGATTCTGCCTGCGTTCCTTAATCATAGCAATGGCAAACTTTGGTTTAATGAATTTTAGTAACCATAATCGAAACTCCACCGAATATCGAGAAGAGTCAACTAACCTCTTGGACTTGATTAAGCTTCTCGAAATTTGGAAAAATTTTCGGCAGAATTGGATTACCTAGGAGAAACTTGTGTACCGCGGGGATCTGCCCGATCTGTGCACGATTTTAGCATACATCAAAATATCGAAATGGCCCTAGAACCTTACAAGAGAAACATAAGACAAGACTTGGTCGATTGCAGCGATGTTGTTATCGACATCAGTCCCTGTTTCCAAGAACCCAAGGGTCCGAGAGAAGTTGACTTCGCCTAGAACATCGAAAGCGAAATATTGCATCCATGGCCCAACATCAAAAGCTGTTTTACCGTTGTTCGAACGATTGTAGACTTGCTTCAGAAATAGCTCTATACACCCGTTTACAAATGGCTCAAATTCTGACACGACGGTCATCGAGAAAGCCTTAGCTGAAGCTCGCTTTAATTGCGCGTGGTACTCATTACTCCTCGTGGTGAAAAGTGTGGGCAATTTCTTGCCCTCATAGAGGCCCTCGCCAATTGAAAAAAAGGCGGACTTCAAAGCTAGTTAGTTTCGTCTGGAGAAAGATATAGTATATCTGGGAGTTGGATTCAAATTCTCCCCCGAAGAAATAAGTTTCATTGCCACCACCCTTACCTTGGGGAAGATATTGGTAAAGTTGTATATAGTCTTCACGGCTTCTGGGTCAGATGCTGACACGTGGTTAGGCCCGATCCGAACCAGTGCACCGTACTTTTCATGAACCTCAATGTTCCGCCATGCCATGTCCTTTTTCAATATTCTATGGATTTTCCATAGGTTTGAGAAACTGGCAAGGAATGGACCCGGTATGTGTCGAAGGCCTTGACGGTACTTTGTCCAAACACAGCTGAAGAGAAAGAAAGAGGCCACTAGAAGACAATATCTCTGGAGATGGTCGAGGTGGATGTTGGGCAGGAAGTCCATAGTCGAGGCCATGGCGAATGTTGTTCTGGTCACTCTGTACTGACAAAGATCGCTATATTTGATGTTATCAGGGCGTTTGTAGGAGGTCGACTTGTCTGCTTTCAAGAACAAAAGAAGGCTTTCGCATCCTCCAGGTGGGTTAATCTTGAGTTGGACAGCTGGGAAGTAAATGTCTAATCTGCCAACGCATCCCTTCAGACTAGTGAGGAGAAGGTTTCCAATTGATCCGTATAAATCTTTCCCTTGTAGAGCATTTTCATGAAGGTGACGAAGGTTCAGTCCATTTACAGCAAACACTCCGATTAACAACTGATTCTCAGAGACCTCGTATTGAGATCCGAATATTCGTGTTTGTTTGCCTCCCGAAGGAGCAGTAAATCCCCTTGGGTTTTCTGTGCTGCCCGGTGCTAAGTTCGTCATGTAGTGCAACCAGGACAATATACTTTTGTAACAGATCTTCCAAGGTTTCGCTCAGACCCCTTCGTGTTGGCTGTGTCGATCTGGCTTGCCATTGCTTGGCATACCCCATCGACGAGTTTATTTTGCCCCTGGTCCCTGATCCTGCACCACTCCCGAAGAACCACCAGGGTCGATATTTCAGCCCTGGATGCGACAACAGGCCGCCATCTGAGACCACATCATACTAACCACCGTCAATTAAAACAGTGTTTTCCGAGGACCTGTTATTTCAAGCCCGGCAATTTCCTAAATGGGCTTCATGCGACTAATGTGCGAACGCCATCCATGTGTAGCGGGGGGCGAAACCCAAAATTAGTATAGAAACCGGCAGAGAATACATAGAACATCATGTAAGTATGAAACAAAACATTTAAGGTTACTGAACAAATTATTCTACCAATTGTACTATCTCCTAACTGTTTTGTCTAACAATTCAGTTAACTCCAGCCTTGATCATATCTTCCAAACCAACAATATCCTCATCCGGATCAATCCCCACAGCCTTGATCAGCCTTGCGATCATTACGTAGAATCCAATAACAAAAATAGCCTCAACCAACTCCGTGTAAGTCAGAACATGAAGCAACTGAGTCATCGTGTCCTCCTCATTCGTGTAAGTCGCAAGTTGCTCATCGACAAACTTCAGTATCACCAGCTGCCTCCAAGAGAACACTCCTGTATGGTTCGATTTATCTTCTCCCAGAATAATTTTCTGACATGCCCTGACTGCCTCCATGACGCCCTCACTCATTCCGTGCACTCTAGCTACGGGTGCGTTGACATCCCATTCATATTGGCATTCCAGGGAAGACGCAATTCGTAGAACGATAAGTTGCCAGTCCAGTAAAGGCAATGTCCTGGTGGTTTTCTGGAAGAATGCGGAGTACACCCCCATTATCGAAGGGAAAATACCAGGGGAATGGGATAGAAGATAGAAAATATGCCTCTTCATTGGCATCATTTTCAAGGCAGCAGCCACATTGGAAGGCGCAGTCTCTGGATCAACATATGGAATTTTGCATTGGGACAACTTCGTCGTAGATGGATAAATGAAAATCGATTTCTTTGCTCCGATGGCGGCGTTCTGCTGCCTCGTTATTGCTTCCTGTATATTGGCAGCCAAAGAGTCCTGGTCTCCGGACCAGCTGACAAGGTTCACTTTCGGCATTTTCACTCTGCCATCCGCATAGAGTTCGACAAACCACCTGTAGAGGTCCTCCATTTCTGAATCAGAACGCATCGCTGCCTGTTCGGAGCCTCGAAAACTTCGAAACGATAAGCGATTCCAGAAAAACTGCTGGTGGGGAACTTTTACACATGACGTTGGGCCCCCATCACTCAGTTGACCATAATTTACGAAAGTTCCGTGGGATGAAAGGCAGCTTGCAATCTTTTCCGCTGACTGCCCAAACACGGAATCTAAGCCAAGCAAAATCCGTTTGTCCTTAAGGACTTGCGCATCGGGTAAGTCGGATTCGTTAAGAACAATATCCGCTTCGGTGTCCCAGATGTCTTCCGGCGCGCGATCACGAATGACTGATATTACTTTCACCCCGCGTAAGTGGGCGATTTGAACAACCATTTGTGAAATAGTACTCAGGCCAGCGTTCTGGATGATCCAATCACCAGGCTTCAATTGCCTCATATCCTCGAGTAGAAAATAAGCGGTAAGGACAGATGTTTTGAGAATTGCTGCAAATGAAACGTCCGAAATTGCGGGAATTGCGATCAAATCGTTTGCTAGGAATGTAGCATGTGTTCTCCAGGTTCCAAGCCCCAGGGTATTTGGTATGACGAGATCGCCTGGCGCAAGACTGGTAACATCTCCGCCACGCGCTAAAACTCGACCGACGCCGTCAAAGCCTCCAACATATTTCCCATTGACTTGGAAATTGGGCTTGATGGGGTATTGACCTGCCAAAACCATCAGGTCCAGAGGGTTAACTGGGGCAGCAAGGAATTCAACCACAACTTCATTGCTTTTTGGCTCTAGAGCAGTATACTCCTCCAGCAAGAGAGCCTCTGCCGCACGTGCGCTGGGCATTGCAAATGTCAAGGCCAAAGGCATAGCTGTAGCTTGTAGGAGATGAATAATGTCTCAGCAGAGAAAAGCTTGAACGAATAGTATAAGGCAGTGGTGTCCGGTGCGCCTCTGGGGAGGGGGGCGTGAAAGCTCTTGGAGAGAAAGAAATCAAAGGAGACGATTTTTTTATCAGTCGACAATTTTCACTCCCTTTTATCATCTATGTGGTATTCGACTGCCATGCCATCCCAGTGGGGGCTGTACAAAGTGATCGTTGCCTCTCGAATACTCGCAGAACCCTTTTTTATGAAAACTAACCGATAACAAGCCAAGTGCCGTTGATAAGCTAGACATGTGGTACCAATATAGGGTGCCCGTTTGAGACCGGGGTAATCAGTGCCGCAACAAGAACTGCGTAAATCGGGAAATTTGCTTCGTGTTGGCACAATTTCTCAAATCCAGGGCATTTCTACGAAGATCCTACGACGCTGAAGATATCCAACAACATCCATTTGTCCCAGGACTCTAAAAAAATCTGTTGCTGGAAACTAAATTGCAAACTTCAAACCAGGTCACGCGAGCGCCACAGCGGCAGTGTTGCACTGGATATCTTCCTTCGCCCCGCCAGGTCTTATGCAAATTAGGCTGACGCATTATTGTCAGTCTGCGAGCAAGAAAGTGTTGGCAAGGGAAAAGGAGGGCGGGGTGAAGAACAAAATTTGTAAACCAAACACGAGGTCAGTTTAAGATCCGCTAGTACACCAATTTTTGTGAAATTAAAGTATAGCGGCGCGATTGGAAAAGTTATCACACCGAATTAACAGTCACTGCTTGCTTAGAACCAAGTTCAATGCACCAAGCCGGACAATCAATTGGGCAGCCGATTCGAGTGCATCTTAGATTGTCAGGGCAGGAAATATTTGCGGCTGCCCTGCCCCTGAGCACCCGAACAAACATGGATGCACTGTTGGAGTTCTCCAATCCGCTTTTAATTCAGAGGACAATCCGACTCAACAAATGAATCATAATGATATGTATGATGATGATGATGATGATGATGGGGTGAAACCTGGTGGAACAACGAGGGAGAGATCTTACTCGGGCTGATCCAATCGGTTCTAACCTCATATAGATTAGTGCATTTCGCCATCCACGTGATTTCCAACCTCTCTCAAGGATCGATGTTGGAAACTGGAGGACTCAACTGAACCCAGCCAATGAAGGAGAATGAAGCAAATTGACAACAACGTCTACGATCGATATTTATACTGGAGATTTTCAGTGGCTAATCTGATAGGCATTTGAGTTCAGCTGCCTTGTCATGAAATCTCTTATTAGACGTGTTTTGAATCCCTAAAACCCCCTACCAGGATCGGCTTTCCTCGGGGCGAAACGCTTGGGTAGGTAGAGTCATGAATATTCATTCCCCTGGACTGACTTAGATCCTCAGGTGTGGGCATAGAATTATGGAGCCAACCAACGGGTGTTTCGAGTAGACATTTCATTGCTTTATTGTAAGTGGCATACCCCGTGCTAGTTTTGGACAACCATAGGGACCGCAATTGACTTCTCTGCTGAGAGTTCCTTTCTTCCCCTTTTAGGCATTTGCAATATTCAACACGGCGCCATGAGTTTTCAGCAATGATGGCCTTGGTTCAACCTCACATATGCCAGCCCTTCTTAAGAAATAGGACTGGCCCGTATCATGTGTAATAGAGTGGAACCTCATTGTGTACACTTGCAAGGGCCTAGTCCATGCTTGATTGTGCATTTTCAAGATTCGCTTCCATACAAGCCTCAGCCCATTCACAGTGGCTGAAAAATATCTAAATATGGCTCCAGTCAAACTTTCTCTCCTTGAAACTCTCAGCCATGTGCATGACAGCAACGTGGCTGTTATCGATGTGATACGAGTTAACCTGGACAATTTTCTAGACTTTCTGAAGAAACAAGGTTGCCAATAAATCATTGGTTGGTTTATACGGTGCGTCAAAATGATCGGCGCCAACCATCATCTCCCCAGGGCTGCGGCATCCTCTGCTCACGCATGGAACCACCTGGTCTGCTGCGAATTCGTTGTACTCACTACTTCTTGCCTTGTTAACTGGTCCTTTGAGCTACGGGGTGTATGTGTTTCGGAACTGTGTCCTATCCCAGGCAGCCGCGTCTGCATGGAATTATCCCGTTGGGTCATTCCAAGAAAAGTGGCAAAATTGAATACGAGCAAAGACAGGAACAGCACTTTCGGCGCAGCAACGGGGTGTGTAAATCGTGTTCAAATATCATGAACTGCCATTTGACATGGTATAAATCTCCCTGGGGAAGCGACGCTCTTTTGCAAATAACCAAGCCATGAGCAAAAGAAGCTTTATAGAAACGTCTTCCAGATGTTTAGCAATTTGTCAGCTTTTGGATTATTAATATTTTCTCTATTGTTTGCTTTGCCAATTCGTTCCGTTCTTAGGAAAATCTATGCCTCGCCAGCAAGAAAAACAGAAACCGAGAAGCCGATCGTGATAGAGCGTTTCGACATGGCCATCTCTGAGGTCCACGAGGAGATGCAGTGTTCCGAGCAGCAGCTTAGGTACTGTTCTCGAACTTCTTCGGGGGAACACCCAACTTATACACTCCGGTGGGATTCGCGCCAGCTATGTCCGAGCATCGACCGACTTGTGTATACCTGGCAAGCTGTTGCAAGTCACAATCCTGTCCTGCGGACTTCGATAAAGCCTGGCAGGGCCGATGAAGAACCTTATCTGGTTGTGTTCAGGAGAGCAGCGCCGATTCGCATCCAAAATGGCCAAGAATTTGCTACATATAATTCTGCTCCGATGAAAACTGCGGAGTTCACTATCATTTTCACCGAAATGGGCGTTACTTTTCAACTACGCATCTTTCGTTTATTGGTGGACCGTCCATCCCTTGCCCTTATTAGTCG